TACTAGAGTCCTCAAGATTTTTTTAGTACCTTGGGGGAATCCAGGAAATTTGTAGAGAGACTGTATTTTTTTAGAAATGCTGTGGGTTCAAATAAGACATTTGATAAGAATACTGTGGCATTAGGTAGGGGATGTTTTATGATTCCACATACAGCTTGAGGTTTTTTTAATGCTCTGCAAAATATTCTCTTCTTGTTTAGTCTTTTTGCTCTGGGTAGTTCATTGACTGTCATGTTAAAGGTCAAAGATGAAGGCCACCTTTCCCTTCCCTTTTTTCTTTTAAACAAGAAAGATTGTGTTCAGAACGTGGAATACACAGAGCCTGATAAACTACTGCGTTAGAGGATTTAGATAGCAGTTGTACTGGTGATTTGGTTATCGCTATTATTTATTTTGTCTATTAAGTTATATTGGCCTCCTGAATGCTAGATAGCATACAGTGAGCACTCGCTAAACTTTGTCTAGTGGTGATGGTAGCAGCAGCTAGGTCCTAAGCTGGGTCGTTCTGACTCACTGCTAGTACATGCTTCTGACTATGGGTCCGATCACAGTCTATGATCGGACCCATCTTTGGGGTGTTGGTTGTAGCTGTGTTGGTCTAAGTACATAGGCAGATAAGGTTCATTGGGTAAATCTGATATCTTTTATTAGACCAACTAAAATAGTTGGAAAATACTTCTTTTCAAGTTTTCAGGTACAAACACCCTTCAGGCAGAGGAAGTGTCTGCTGGAAAGTTCTTTCACATTTATCCTTGTTGGGAAAGGAGGTAATTCTGGATAAATAAACTCAAGCTGAGTTTATATATCCAAAACAGAAGTCTGTCTGTCTTAATCTTTGATGGTTTATAATTCCTTCACCATTAACCAATGAACTTTGGATAATTAGTATCTGAAAAAGTACTTAACATTTTTGTGCATTTGCCAAGTTTTTATCTTTGGATTTGAAGACAAGTGTATGTTAGGAGGGTTAACAAGAGAGTTAATGCAAAGAGTTTTGCTGTTAGAACTGGATACTTCAATACTGTTTCTTTTTTAATTCCAGACAAATCAAAATTATTATTGGATATAAGTGCTCGTCTCTGGTTTACATATAGAAGAAAGTTTTCACCTATTGGTGCGTATACCTTTAGTGCACTGTTGTCTTAGAAAAGAAAATTATGGAGGAAGAAGGGGAGTTGAACCATTTTGAATTTAAAAGTGATACCTAATGCATTAAAGCACTTGGTAATATTACTGTACTGTTCAGGCAAAAAGTAAATAACTTATAACTGCAGATAATTTGGTCAGGTAAACTTATTGTAGCAATTGAAAATACTTGTGACTATTTCCTAAAGGAATTGGTGGTTAACAAGAGGTTTGTTGTATAAGAACTAAGTTTAATCGGTTTACTTACACATTCTAAAGATGACTTAAAAAAAACTATTTATAAACTGTATTGTTAAATGGAAACTATTTCCTAAATTCTCATCAAAGTTCTTGATTGGTAGAATGGATGGGGTATGGGCTTTATTATGTTATATAGAACCTTTGCTTTTAGCGTACTAGTTTAAATCCAGCTAAAAATAGTACAGATCAAAGTATTTTATTCTTTTGGTTTTGACTGCAAATGCAAAAACCACCATCACAGTTAGTATTAGTTAACAAGACTGTTTGTTTGCAGGCATATTAGAAAGTACTATTTTGCCACATGGTTTGTGATGGTCAATTGGTGAGAAGTATCAAATATGCTTTCACTATTTTTCTGTTCTCTGCTCTCTGTTGAGAGATTGCTTCAGGTTGCAGGACAGAACATCTTGTTTCTTCCATGAACAACTATATTAAATGCAAACAGGAAAAGGAAATTCTTAGAATCTGATATGGAATTCACTTCCTGATGGAGAATTGTGCTCAAGAATCAAATGATTTCTAGCCCCTATGACTATGAAGAACCCTAAAACAAACTAGCATAAAATGTCTTCCTGCAGTTTACAATCTAAAACAATAGTTTGGAGAGGTGTTAACTTCCATATTATCTCGATAGACTGGACAGTATTTTTAGCTCACAATCTCAAACTGTGTTCATTGTTTCCTCAGCTACCAACATCTGTGTTTACCTTCCTACCTAGCCACTAAAGCCTCCAACTTCCACATTTATAACTTCAATTAAATGACATGTTAATAGTGCAAAACTGTGATTTACTGGAAAATGAAAAGATGACAAGAATACAAAATATGTTGTTTAATATCAAAGTATGGTGATTACAGTGCTGTTTAAATTAACCAACACATTTCTTAAATAAAGGAGAGGTGGTTCTCTTTAAATTTCACTAGAAATACCTCAGACTTTGCAGTTTGCAATCGTATGGGCATTTTGGTGCTGCAGAGTTTAGGCCTGGCTTCTCACAGTGCAGAGAGAAATCTGCGTATAGGCTTGTCCATTTGAACTTGGTAATGATTTTTATGGGATCATTAATTCTTTGCCTTCTGTCTTGTGTTATACTAAGAACTCTGCTGCTGTTGAATTAACAATCAGCACTGTACAGATATCTGCACTGTTATAAATCCCAAATGTGCATCTAGAACAGGGGCAGGCAATTATTTTGGGCGGAGGGCCGCTTACTGAGTTTTGGCAGGCCATCGAGGGCCGCATGACAGGCAGCCAGGGGCAGGAAAACATTAATTTTCTAAAATTTTTAGGGGCCCCGTGGGCCGGATAAAATGGCCTGGCAGGCCACATCTGGCCCATGGGCCACATTTTGCCCACCCCTGATCTAGAACATAGGGCGTTGATAAAAATCTTTCATGCTCAGTTATTTCTCTTCATCCACAGGGCACTTGACTTGTTAAAGATTTCAACTCTATCTAGATTTCAACACTTTGATTTTCTGTGGTGCTAATTTCAACCAAGAACCCATATTAAGTGTAACAACTCTTGCTAATAGGAGGTACTGGTCCTTCATCTGATGCTGGCTGGGGATGCATGCTACGATGTGGGCAGATGATGCTGGCGCAGGCCTTGATCTGCAGGCATTTAGGAAGGGGTAAGTGTACTGTTACTTTGTAAAGAGTTAGGAGGCTTCATGTTGTTTGATTAGCATTTAACCATGGTGTAGCTCTTCAGACAAGCCAAGTACAAAAGCTTTAGAGTGGCTGGTAGAAATCACTGCTGAACTGCATGTATCCTTCTGACCTAGCACCACAAAGTGGTGTAAACTGGAGGGGTGAAAACTTCCGTTTCAACCTGAGGTGCACTGATATATCAGTCGCATATCGGATCAGCACCGATAACAGGAAAATTAACGTTATAGGCTATTTTTGGTTGATAATGTCACCAAAAATGCCATGTGTATGCACATTGCTGCCTTATGCTCACAGCCAGGGATGCAGCCCAGCAGCTTGGAGAGCAGTGTCCTGCTGGTAAGCCTGGCGGGGGGAACGAGGGCAGATCAAGGCCCTTCACAGTGAAAGAGGGAAGGAGTGGGACAGGGGCAGGTGCAAGCACTGCCCAGCCAGGACTGGGCACAGGATGGAAGCTCATTCAGGGGCATGGTGGAGGATGGGGAGGGAGGGCGGCTCCCTGCTGCTGTGTGCACCCCCATGGTGGGCATGTGCTGCGCCACCCCCCCATTTTTGTGCAGGACAAGAATGGGCTGCCTGCTGTGGGCTCAGGGCCAGTGGCTACACCTCTTCCCAGTGGGGCAGGTTCAACTGCAGCAGAGTGCAGTGCCCCTCAGACAAGGTGCCTGCGGCTCCGCCCCATGCCCCGAACTTGCATTCACCGCCCTGGTTGGGCAGCATCTGCCCCACTCTCTCTCCCTCCCTCCCTGTGGGATCCTCCATCTGTCCATTCCCCTCCCTCCCCTGCTATCTGCCCCTTCCCTTCCATAGACTTACTGGTAGGACACTTCTTTCCAAGCTGCCAGGCTACATTCTTGTAAATCGGATATCTGATCAGTATTGGTCAATATGACTGGTTAATAATTGGCCGTTGGTATTGGCCAAGAAAATCTTTATTCGTGCACCTCTAGTTTCAACTTGATCAATCCTGTAACGTGATGATTGTAAACTTCCTAGCTTTTTGCAATGTACAGTGTGGAGGATCTCAGTACAGCATAGTAAGTAGAACAGTACTCATGATTTCCTCTTCCCCTTTTTTTAAAATGATTGCAAAACATAATTTGTATTATCTGTAAGTAATGTATACTGCTGAAAGGAATGCTTAAGTCTCACTGTCCAGGGGTCCTGCAAAACAGCCTGTGCAGGTACTCAGCTATGAAAGGTTTGCTATGCAGAGGAGCCAGTGGTGTGTTTGTAGTTTGTTCTGCAGTACTCTTCCATTTCTTTTTCAAAAGTATATCCGAAAATATTTGGTAGAGTAGCACGTTGATGTCATTGGTAGGATCTAATTTTCTGGCTGCAGTGACCTGCTGTAATGTGGCTTTTATGATATTTTTACCCTCTTTTACCAGCTTTCAGTGTCTATACCACAATGATAAACTGTGTATGGTTTAAAATGACAATCAGTGATTTCCAGAAATTGTTTAAATATACTTAGTCATAGATGAATTATACAGATACCTGTTTTCTATGTAATATCAAAACAACATGACAGCAATAGAAAAAATGGAGTACTTTTTAAATTTGCATTTAACTTTTCTCTGCAAGATTGGCAATGGGAAAAACACAGAAGGCAACCTGAAGAATATCATAAGATCTTGCAGTGCTTCCTAGACAGAAAAGATTGCTGTTATTCCATCCACCAAATGGGTAAGGGTAGTTACAATTAGCTTTTTTCCTCTAAAGTTACCAGCATTGGAGCTTAATTAATTTATATTGTCATTCACTTACTATTTTAAAAGAAGGTCTAGTAAAACAAAGTGGATAAATACTATAGAAGATTCAGTGCATATAAATACATATTATAATATAAAAATATTTAACTTGGATCTAACTGTCATGTACAATAGAAATAGGAACTAGTTCTTGGGAACTAAACTTCATAATATTAAATTAGTGCTTACCAGCATTGAATCTCTGTTACTGGATTGTAGCTCTTAGTACCAGGAGCCAGTAGTCAAAATGAAGGGTAGTCGTCTTGTCAACTAAGGAAACAAGTCTTCAGTGCTGGAGTAAAAAAAGAACACAACATATCAGTAATAGGATTATAAGTAAATATATTTTGCAGTGGCTCCAAAATATAGGCAGTGAGGGCACTTACACACATGCAGAGAGGCTGCTCCCATGTGCTGTAAATCCAGCACATGGGAGCGGACTCGATTAATTGAGTCTGGTGAATGTACTCCACCATTATGTGCATCCCCCCCCCCCCCCCCCCCCCACCTCCCAGAGTATGTCTATAAAGACCCTGAGATTCTAATAGGATGCCTATCAAATATATATTATCAGCTGATTTATTTTTTTCTTTTTTGTGTGTGCACTTTCTAATAACCATAGCACAGATGGGTGTAGGAGAGGGGAAGTCAATTGGAGAATGGTTTGGACCAAATACAGTTGCACAAGTGCTAAAGTAAGTAAAACATGCATATACGTTTACCCAGAAGCAGCAAGGGAATCTCCAGATCTGAATGTTCAGTAGTTTGGAGGAGTTCAATTAAGCCATCTACAGTGTCTTAAGTGAACAGTGACTGGATTGCTTTTACCCCATTGTATACAATGCATATTTGAAACATAGATCACATTTCAGACGGGTGCACTGCTGGCATTAAACATCATGACATTCTAGAACTAATCCCTAAATCAGAGATACATCCTAGAAATGCAATCTTTTTCTGAAGTTTTGTATTAAAAATCTTATCTAGCATAATAAATCTGAAGTTTTGAAAATATTGAAAACAAACTTTTTTTTTTATTGGCAGCATAGAGTGGTAGAATAAATTTTAACCACTTTAGCATTTAATAATAAAACTTGCACAGTGGTTTATATCTTAAGAGTCCCATATAGAAAATAAATTGGTTTAAGGGATGTTCATTTGCACCACACAAAACAACATATAGGACCCAGAATGATGACTGTTACGCCTTAGTTTCCCATTCCTCATTTGGCCTGGGGCTGGGTTTTGTTACACAGTTGAGGCTGAACACAAAAGGATTTGGCTCTTCAGTTATGCCCAGGTCCTAAACTGGTATCCAGCACCTGCTGTTTATCCACTACCTAAAGCTGCCATGTGCCATAATGTTTGACTTTAACATGCCTTGAGTCCTGCTTCTACACATGCCAGAACCACCCCAATCTAAGCAGTTTGGCCCTTAGTTTCTGCCTAGGTCTGAATGGGATCCAGAAACTAGGTGGAAGAATACCTAATTCTCTTGTAGTGCCTGATCTGGCACCCACAGGATTAGGCCTTTGATAAAGTGCAGTTGTGACCACTCTCTTTCAAAAGTTGGCTACCTGAGGAGGTGCTCAGCTTTTGCATAATATATATTACAGAATATATTGTTTTATACAGTAAAGTGGTTATTAGAACATTTGTGCAGGAAATGGAAGAGTTGGCTTAATTCTGTCTTCAGCTTGAGGTGCCTCCTCTCCCCAGTCTCAAGAGTGCCCTAGTAGGACAGTCTGACTGGGGCACTCCCAGTAACCTCTTCTTGAATCTTAGTGGTAAGAGATGTTGTTGAACACCCTCAGATTGAGGAAAAGGAAGCCTTCAACTCTTTTCCTTCTTTTTCCTTGCCATATCTTGATTTGTCTTATGTAATTATAACATTGTTACTTTGAGTTAAATTTAGTTAATGTTTTTGTAACAAGCAGTTACATTTTGTTTTATTTAAGAGCCATCTAATAACATAAAGCTGGGTGGCCAACCTGCAGCATGCAAGTGGCAGAGGCAGCCTCTGTGTGACATGCGGCAGATCCAAGAGGGGACAGGTAGCACAGCAGCAGATTGGTCAAAGGAAGGGAATCAGAGTGGCACTCAGGGAGGGTTTAGGACTAATTTGGGGTATGTCTGCTAAAAAGGCTGGCCCCCACTGACAAAGCATCAAGCTACGCTTTGGGTTTCTGAATGACGGTAGTCTTTAAGCCAGTTAAAGTATTGTCTTACCGTTTTCCAGAAAGCTTGCTCTATTTGATGAATGGAATTCCTTAGCAGTTTATGTGTCCATGGATAACACAGTGGTCATTGAAGACATCAGTAAGTTACTTACATTTGTTCTCATTGTAACAAGTGTCAGTTTGCCTAAATCACCCCAAGAAGATAGTCACAAACAAAAATATTTCCAAGATTGTATAATATTAATTGGGACAGTCCACAGATGAGAAATAAAGGGAGAGCTCATATGTTTGGGGTATTAAAAAACAGTTGGTGCAGAGTAAGTTTAGACATTTTTGGTAAGTTTAGCACGCACTTCTTTCTTGACCAGTAGGACAGGTTACAGACAGTATAGTTTAGAATTTATGAGCACTACTCCACTTTGGTAGGATACTTTATTAGCACAGATCTACCTAAACTCTGTTCCCACCACTATAGATGGGATGTAGAAACAACTAATTGTTTTTAACATTAAATTTGCCAAAATTATCCATTTTCTCAGGTAAAAGGAAAGACAGATAATATGCAATTGATAAGCACATTGTCATTATTTATTTTCAGATTTAAATGGTTTAAAAATGGTATTAGTTATAGCCAGACAAGGTTCCTTGGGTGAATTTGATATCTTTTATTAGACCAACCCAAATAGTTGGAGAATAGTTATTAAGCAAGCTTTCGGGTTCAAAAACCCTTTGTCAGGCTATAGCCAGCTTTTACTATTGTCCAACAAAACATTTATTTTGTGCTTATGTCTAATAGACAGCAGCTTGAGGGATTCCTAATGGTGTTTTATATGCTATTTAATTTCCTTGACAGCATTCTCATAGATTAAGTTTACTGTCATTTATGTAAAAGAATCTGTGAAATTCACGTGGTAAACTTTCATCTCTGTCATTTACCTAAATACTGATGTCTCCCTGGAACTTGGCACCATATGCAGGTTACTAGGATTACCTATGCTAATAATACATCCACAACTTCCATGCCTTAGTCCTGTCATTTTAAAACTAGATCTCTAAAAAAGTAGATTGACATTCCATGAAACATCAGCTGTGTAGTCCATAGTGCATTGACAGGTCTCTTCTTTTCACTCCCACAGAGAAAATGTGCTGGTCCCCTCCTCAGAGCAGCAGTGCTGCATATGGCAGTATGCACTCACACAGAAGTGCTCTTGGCCGAAACAAGAACACAGCAGGGTTCTGCTCAGGCTGGAAACCCCTCTTGCTTATTATACCTCTACGACTGGGGATAAATCACATCAATCCAATTTATATTGAAGCATTTAAAGTAAGCTGATACCAGTAAAATCATGGTTACCCTGCTTATCATTTACATACTAGTTCAGATACCGGTGGTAACAAGCATGGCACAACTAAAACGTTATGTTTTTCATTTTAAATCTCCAGGAATGTTTTAAGATGCCACAGTCCTTGGGAGCATTAGGAGGGAAGCCAAATAATGCCTATTATTTCATAGGATTTTTAGGTAAGAAAACAGCCCACCTACTTATCCATAATCAGTTAAGGGAACAGTTCTTGGCTGAAAAAAATTGCAGACAGTTGGAACATGAGGCTTGCAGGAAATATAATAAAGTTTCCAGAATGCTGTAGTCTGATCTTGTATAGCAGAGGAAAGGGTAACATGAAGCCCTTGAAGAAATAAGTAATTATGTAAACAAGAGCAACATATCAGGAATAGCTGAATATCATTCAGCAAGCATATAGACAACTATCAGTACTGTCATCTAGTATTGTTTCTAAAATCAAGAACCTTATTTTTTGTTCTGTTGTTTCATATTTCTTAAAAGTGAACTTACGGCATGAGTATATGAACACATTACCACAGGGTGAAGGAGAGCTGGATTTTACAGTGCATCAACTCCTCTGTGGTAACTCAGTGGTCATGTTATTACCTGCTAACATCTGCTACTGGGGTTAGCTTGTGTCAGGCAGTTATCAGAGAGCAGCTTACATGCCTTAAAGCAGTGGTTCTCAAACTTTTTTGTACCAGGACCCATTTGTAAACATCAATGGCCAGTCTTGACCCAAGCCCCAGCCCCCCAGTGCGTGGGAAAGGGGGTGGGTGTGTGGGGGGCCCCAAGCAGCCCCTTGCAGGCAGGAATTCTGACAGCCTCCAAGGGAAAAGCTATGGTTTCCCACATTTTTCCCCTTTAAAAGAGAATCCATTTTTAAAGTTCGTTGCTCCATTTTTAAGTTTGTTCATGACCCTTTCATATATTCTTGCAACCTACTTTTGGACATGACCCATAAGTTGAAAAACACTGCTTTAAAGCCTGCCCTCCTTTACCTGACTAACTGGTTCCTGTACCTCCAGATTAACTTGGTATTTATCTCAATTTCTCTTCACTCCTCTAACTTTTCTAGATTTTAATTGTATTTTGACACTGGCTTTGCATCTGTCCTCCCTTTGCCTATTATAATATTTAATACTAGAATACCTTTCTTGAAATCCTACCTAAAATTGACTCTTCTTATTGCATTTGTGACCCATGTACTTGTTTTGTGTTTTAAATAAAACTAGGAGTACATTTAGTCAGGTTTCATTGAACCAATCCATGAGAGCCAGATTAAGAAAAAAAAAAGTCCAACTGATTTGTGGTCACTTGGATCTTGTGATCTGTACAATGTTTGAACTTATACTGTAAAACCTTAAATGTTATGTTTGATCTCAAGAAATAATGGCAAAGTACATAATGTAGAAGACAAGTGATGAAACGGGGATCAGAGCAAAAAGCTTAAACATTACTGCAAGCTACCCCAGATATTTTACCTCTAGAATTTACCATTTTTATAACCAGCAAGCAGACTAGACAGTCTTAAGCATGGTGGCAGTCTAACTTCTACCTTATACATCCAGTCTAAGAGGTTATGAAATTTAACTTTGTTAATAAACATGTATTTTACCTGTACAGGTAATGAGCTGATCTATCTGGACCCTCACACCACTCAGATTTTTGTAGATTCAGAGGAAAATGGCATGGTTGATGACCAGAGCTTCCATTGTCAGCAAGCCCCACATCGAATGAAGATCATGAATTTGGATCCCTCTGTAGCTTTAGTAGGTGTTAAAAAGAAATGCAGTATGAACTATTGCAAAGTGCTACCTAAATAGTTGTAAAGGTAGTTTTGTACTTCCTTGGGCAGAACTGTTCCTGCAAAGAAGCTTCTAATAGTTATAAATTAGTCTTAGTGGTAGATTATGAAGACTCTGCTCAGATTACATGAATATAACCTCTGGTAGGTAGCTAAATAGTGATAGTGGGGGTGGCTAATTAATTTAGTTTAAAAGGTCTTGCTGTGTAACAGCTGAAACAAGGAATTTAACCGGGGTCCATTCCTGGGTTCTACCCAATCATTGCCATCTACACACTGACAAATTGAACAATTATTTAATCTTTCTCGTGCCTCCATTTACAAATTCCTAAATGGGCTATTGGCAGTAGTAATGCATTTTACTCTACAACAGGGACTGGCAATTATTTTGGGTGGAGGGCTGCTTACCCAGTTTTGGCAAGCTGTCGAGGGCTGCATGGGTAGCCCCACCCCTTGACAGGAGGGGTTATCCCCTGGTCACCATCTTGGGACCAGTGTGCCAGGGCCAGCACCGGTGGGGCCCAGAGCAGGGTGCAGGCTGGCAGGGGTGTGTGGAGCCGGACTGGGCTGCATCAGGGAGAGGGGGGAGCTGGCCCGGCTCCATAGAGCCCGTGCTGGCCAGGACCCTGTACTCCTGCCGCCCTGCTCTGGGCCCCGCTGGCACAGGTCCCAGGACACCGATGTGTGCCCTGTGTACCCGCTTACTCCCAGTACCCCCCCCCCAGCCCCGTGATAGGTGGGGGGCAGCGTAGAGTCCCTGCTCCCTGGCAGGGAACGAGCTGGTGCTGAGTGCGGGGGGAAAAGCGGCCCCTCCCTCACCCCACGGCCAGTGTTCCCTGCTGCAGTTGCTCACAGCCCACGTGGGGCTGTCCTGAGCAGACACAGGCAGCCCCAGGCAGGCTGTGAGCAGCTGCAGGGCGGGGCACTGGCCACGGGGTGGGCAAGGGCCTGCTTTTCCTGTGCTCGGCACCAGCTTGTAACCTGCCCCCACTGCCAGCCCGGGACCCACGCCGGAGCTGCACCGCAGCAGCTGCGGCCCCCCTGCTTGCCGTACTGGGTAGTGTTTGCCACTGCCTCTCTGGGCTGCCCGGCACACAAGCTCTGGGCGGGCAGCAGCAGCAGCAAATACTGCCTGATGAGGCAAGCGGGGGGGGGGCACAGCTGCTGCCGCCGCAGCATAGCCCCAATGAGTGAGCCCGGAGCCAGTGTGGGGCCCAGGCTGGCTGCGAGGGCATGTTAGAAGCTGGTGCTGAGTGCGGGAAAAACGGGCCCTCGCCCACCCCGTGGCTGGTGCCCCACATTGCAGCTGCTCAAAGCCTGCCTGGGGCTGCCTGTGCCTGCTCCACACAGCCCCGTGCTGGCCACGGGGCAGGGGAGGGGCCGCTTTTCCCCAGGCTCCTTCCCTGCCCCCTCCCCTTACCTGAGGTTCTAGCAGGGTGCAGTCACATGGTCCCAGGCCAGAAGCCCCTGCTGGGACTTCTGGCTGGGGGGGGGGGCCGGCCAAGTGGGCCCTGCTGTTGCGGGAACCTGCCGGGCTTCCCCTGGGTCCTACTGCCCCTGGTTTCTGTCATTTTTGAGAGGAACCAAAGACAGATAGATATTAATTTTGCCCACCCCTGCTCTACAGGAATATTGTGATGCCTGGGGAATCCAATTCTGATTTTGCATGCTTCAGTTGCAAGCATTGACTTCATTTGGGTTACTCCTAATTCTTCTCTGGGCCCAGTATTTCTAAACCTTTTTGAAATATAAAAATGTCTTATTAGCATATCTACTATTAGTAACCCTACTCTTTTTACTGGAAAAATATTTGCTTAATAATTAACCATGCAAATACATGAGCCAGAAGGCAAAGCAGTCAGTCATGCCATTTAATATTAAGCAACAATTTACAATGCAGTCACCTTCCTGAAAGTGTAACTTACATGGCAGTTCACCCTACGGCAGGTTTTAACTTGCGGCCAGATTTACAGCTGTTGTAAATCTCATCCATTGACTTGAATGAGGCTGCTACTATTATTTGTATTATGGTAGAACATAAAGGTCCTAAAATCAAGAGTGGGGCCCCTATTCTAGGCACCCTGCAAACATGTTTAGTCTTGACCCCAGAGAGTTTATAATATAAACAGACAAGACAGGGCAGTAGGGGAGGTAATAAAGGCTGTGTTCAAGAGGAAGAGCAGTAAACATCATGTTCATGTCCGTCCCTTGCCTTGTGTTTTGTTTTGCCATTCTGCACCAACTGAAGATCTGTCCCCTAATCTCCTACATACCATGGATCTTGCACCTAATGATCATATGTGCTATGGCAGAACATGAGCTCTATTCTATGTTATTTGCTAATATCATGTTTGCTTACAACTTGCAAATGGAAGTGTATCTTTTCTCCCCTCAGGGCTTCTTTTGTAAAGAAGAGAAGGACTTTGATAACTGGTGTAGTCTTGTACAAAAGGTAATCACGCATTGTTTTCTTAATACAATCCACATCAAAGTATGCACACATTGTTTTGGTAAAATGTTAATTTCCCTTTAAATGTCTGTGTATGGTATTTAAATGTGTCACATGCCTTCTTTGGGACAGAAGAATACAGTTAAGGTGGAAAGTCTAGTTTAGGTGTCTAACCATAAAGGTAACATGCTTCATTGAGTAGCATAGGCCTGATTCTGTGAAGCACGGAAGTCCCTCAACTCCCATTGAATTAGTGGGTGCTGAAGATTTTCAGACTCTTGCAGGACCAATACTTGAGATAACGCTTGCATTTTTAAGACACTGGTGTGTGTTTGTGGTATGTTATAAAGCCAAACACCAAGTGACTTCAGACCCCAGGAAACATCTGTAAAATCAGCTGAAGATTTCTCCAGGAAGACATTTGTAAACTGTTTTAATTACTTTTTAAAATTAGGCTTGACATTATTCTCCAGGCTGAACGACTGTGGAATTTGGCTGTAGTAATAACCAGTCTCTATAGGACAAAAATGATCCTTCAAAATCCATTAACTTCTGGAGCTACCAAGTTTGTCCCTTGCTCCTGTCATTCAGAAATGCATTTGATCATAAAATCCAATTGGGAGCCATTTCTTTCCCATTTAAAAAGATAGGAATGTATTTCATGCTATCCCTATCAGTTTTCTGCTCATGAACAATTATAGCTAGTGTTGATTTCAGAGCTAATTATAACGCAGCTGACAGCTTGTGACAGCTTGCAAAGATCGGTCTTCTGTGCCTGATTCTAACTGGGGAAGGTCACTACATATGGAACCATACAACAGCAGTCTTAAAGAGGATCACAAACTATAACTCACATACCTGCAGAACGTGGTTGGGTTTCCTTTTTTGTTTTCCATTTCGCAATTTTTACTAACCAGTCAATTCTAGTATCTGAAGTTCTGTTAATTTGCTGCATCTTTAAAAATAAAAAGTGCTCTATTCCCAGGAGATTCTAAAGCAGCAGAGTCTGCGGATGTTTGAGTTAGTCCAGAAGCATCCACCACATTGGCCGCCTTTCATACCTCCAACTAAACCAGAAGTGACGACAACAGGAGCAGGTACAGTACTAACTTGAGTGTACTACTCTAGCAATATGTTCCTCATTATACTGGGATGAAAACTAATCAAAGGTGGAATAGTTATATTTTGCTAAACGTCAGGTTCTTACAAGATGTGGTATTCTTTAATACTTTTAGTAACTTGAGCTCCAGACAGTTGTCACGAGGAGGTTAAATATGATTTCTAGCAAAGAGTAGTTCAGGCCTACAAAATCTTGCCGTAAAAAGTCCTCCGAAGTAAAAAGCAGTAAGTGCGTTTTGGAATTCAGCTGTTTTAATTTTTGTTGGCAGAACTCATTGAATCTACTGATAAACTATTTGAATTGGAGGAAGAATTTGAGATCCTGAGCGTATGAAGGAAGCTGTAATGACTTTTCTGTGTTGAACATATTATATTGACTTAAACAGCCATTTTAGCCCTAAAGTGCCTGAAATTAAGGACAGAGCACAAATCTTAGTAGTACCCACAGCTCGGACAACAATGGTCTAAGAAGATCTTCCCCAGAAGGAAAGAGAAGATATGGATCCTGTAATCTGATGCTTAGAGAGAATCTCTTTCCAGTGCGAATCTTATTCAAAGAGAAATGAACCTTTTGAGATGAAGACAAAATCAAGGTATCAGAGTAATGACTGTGGTATATTACTGGGCTCTACCTTTGAAGGCAGGGATTGTCCCAATGGGTATTCTTGCTCTCATATTATAATGCAATAGTTTAGCTTTTAAAACAAAACAGTATTGCGCTAAGGGAGGATGTTTACTTTTGTTCCCTCCTGTGGGCTGCATCATACGATTAAATACGCTGTCTTGTTATAAGATCAACTGGATCAGGAGAAGATTATTTCCTTGTTAAATATTTTAACATGTATTTGAGCAACCACACTTTATTACAAAAATGTTTCTGTGAAAGGAACTGTGTCTAATGTATACATTTTGCAATGGCTTTCCTGTTTCTGAGAAACCTGAAAAAGGAACAGGAGACTCTATTAGCTGGTATGGATCACGATCACTGCTATATAGTTAGGAGATATTTCACCCTGACCTTAAATCATTAAAACGTTAGGTTGTTTGTTTTTTTTTATTTGTTTGTTTCAGAATTAAAAAGAGTCAAGGGTGGTTTAACAGTATCTTATTTATTTTTAAATAGATTTACATGAGTTTGTGTTACAGCACTTTCTCTGTGCATCTAATAAATTTCTTAAGCTTTTCATAGGTTGTATGTTGCTATATTTTGTGAATTTGCTTGAACTGACTATACATAAAAGAGTTGTCTCAAATCTGCACATGGAAAAATTACTCAGTTGCCTTGTTACCCTGTCAAGTCCATGTTGGTAAAAGCAGAGCATGTGCCTAAGGACTTCACTGGATAAGATTTATTCAGCCTGTAATAAAGAATCA